CCAAGCCACGGCTTTTAGCGCATCGTGATAGATTCAAGCGCATTCATATTTATTATATTGAGGAGAGATACGCGCCGAGGATCGAACTCACTCTCTCTCCCACCGTCTAGTGACCGCCTAGCTATTCGAACACCTAAGGTGGAGCCTGAACCCCAGTAGGAGCGCGAACGAATGTAGCGACAGGGAATCAGAACCGAGAGAAATTTCCAGCGCCTACCAGGCCGCAGGGACCGTGGTTTGCCGAGGTCTGACATTTCATATGCATACAGACATTAGGTCTTAGCTGGTCAGCCACCCACTCAACATAACACACACTGGACTGACCACGTTGTCTGAATTATAAGTTGGCAACCCTCCGAGCCACAGCTTTTAGCGCGTCTAATTGTCGATAGTGTGGAGAATGCATTGAAACGTCGACCTCAACCTCTACCCCACCTGCAGCATAAGGCCATCTTCCGAGCCGATCAGTTGTCTGAGGTGGGATTGGCGCATTGGCTGACAGGGTCGGCGAACCCGTCTGCGCGCGCCAAAACACGACCTGGTCTCCTTGATAAACACACACACACTAGGATTTACAAACTAAAGGATTAGAAGGAGCAGTCGCCGTTTGAAGTTCAGTCCACTCACAAACCAAAACACACACTGAGCTGATAGTCAACACATGGATAAAGATACGCACATAAACGGTTGACAGTATGGGAGAAAAAGCTTAGGTAAGAGTGGACAGGAAAAAAAAACAGAAAAAAGGATCCGCTTTCGGATGCTCACATTGACTTCGGTGGAGGGTACCGCCACCTTCTCCTTCATAGTCTCACTGGCTTTCTTCAGATTACCCAGAAGCTTCGCTTTGGCTTCAGCGAGAATGCGTCTCGATTCCAGCAAGTCCTTCCTCAACTGCCTCAATAACAGCGCGTGTTGACGCACATTAATTATAGCGCCCCTGAGCAGATGCCGATCGATTCCCAGTTTGTTTGCATCGACGGCGACTGCGTTGGCCGTGCTCACGACCTCCGGATTTTCATCCACTGCGGCCAGTTTTAGGTAGACAGCTTCAAACAGAGGCGATATAAAAATGGCTTTTTTAATTCTAATTCAATAACATGTAGACAGTAAACGGAGGTGTTGCCCTCTTAAATAGACCAAAAGTGTTTTGAATTGCGGAATTTTTTTAGAAGCCGGAGACAATAAAGTCATTGCTTAAAATACGTTATAAACATTGTACTATGTTTATAAATGTATGTAGAGTACAGGATCGCAATGTCCGTCTGCCAGCAAGCTAGTGTTTAAGACCAGTTTCTCAGACCAACTTCCCGTCAGAGGATTGGCCAAGAAAAACTTCCTTTAGTTCTTGAACGCATGCGGAAATCTGCTGGGCACTTTCATGGGAATTACTCTTTTTTCTCAATGTTTCAGTGGGCAACTGTTCATGTGTATCTATTGTCATTGCTTACGTTCATTGTATTTGTCCGAGAATTCGGTTACGATCTAATATGTACGGTTTTATTACCGTGACATGCCTACTTATTTGATTTAGGTAGGCATGTAATACTGGGTTTATGGTCCTGGGTGAACATAAGAAAGTGCTTAAGGGAATAGGGTTAAGCAAAGAGTTAGGGTTAATATGCCTACTGCAGTTGATGGTCCCCAATCCACTATTCTCTGACCAATAACCTGGGATTTCCTGTTCTCCATTAGTTTGCATGCTCATAATTTGAATATTTCCTCGTGCGCGTCTGTTTCAGCACCTCATTGGAGTAACCGAACAAACTGATGTTAAAAATACCAGCATTCGCAATGCCTTCCGTGGATTCCGTTAACTGCTTCACTCATCTGCCCTACCAGCAAAACGAATACTGTCGCCCCTCCTATTTTACAGGAGTTCCTGTGTTGTATTTCTTCAGTGGACTTTCAGAGTAATTCCATCGTGAAAACTCTTTACACAATTATTTTTAGTAAAAGATAGGTCGCCCTTTTCAGTGCTCTTGTACACTACTGACTGCCTACTGGTAGCATATAATTTATTACATTTATCATTATTATATACCATAACTATAAATATTACGCGGCTACTCCACAGCAACTGATAGATTTCATTTTTACTAGCCAAATAAAAATTTCCGATTGCGCCTGCAGATATTTTTTCCGAAGGTTTTTCTCAAATTCGCGCACTAACTCCCGAAGAAATTAAAAAAAGTGCAGCACAGAACCTGAAGTTCGTGCGGGAAACGCTAGAGAAACCCATTGATTGACCGAATCCCTCAAAGCTGTGTCATGCCACGGCGCAACATCAGCTACTCACGCGTATCTGAGCAAATAGCTAGTATCTCTGCTGTAAATCTTTCAGTAGTTGTAAATAGGCAAGTGTTTGCCTAAGACTAGCATTCATTTCTCCGATGTGGTAGCACCTTTTCCACAGTTTTACCTGTATATACGGCTGCGAGACGTTCCAGCGTCTTTAGTTCCTCATTCAAGGTGTCCATCGTAACCGATATTGCTTGATCCAGTAGCTCGGGAACTAGAAAAGCAAAAAACTTTCTTTTAAAAATACAGCCAAGAAAATTCTCTTTTGCCTAATTTTAAAGCGCATGACTCCAAAAGTCAACGAAATGTCAGCTATTTGAGAAAGCGTTTGATTGTTCTAGTAGTACTACTCATATTACTGTAAACTGCCCTTCAGGACTTCTTTCAAACACCTATACATAAAATACCGACAGATATACATAGTAACAGTACTACTAACACTCCGCAACATTGCTTTTTACTAGCAGTGTAGGAAGACGGTATCCTCAGATTATGCTTTGTCTATCGCAAGCTAGACGCCGTAGCAGGCCTGCAGCTAGCCTATAGACGGCACTACGTTACGACATGAAGGCACTACCGCTTTGTATTAACCCGTAAACTATATAAATACCTATTAAGAACGTGTCAGAACTTGTTGAAAGACACTTGAGGAAGCATCAAATCCACGTAGCGCACAAATCGATGAATACG